ATCAACCACGATAAGGGTGGCGGAGAGAGCACGACCGTGAGGCGTCGGGAGGGACGTTGGTATGGGCCTCGAGGCCCCAGGCGAGACCCACCACGGCACTGCCCTTACTGTCGGACCAAAAATCGAAGAACAGTGGGTAAGAAAATCATGAAGAACCCAGTTTAACTATATGAGTAATCCCACCTGTGCCTGAAACACGACGCAAATGGGGAACACCGACTCAATTTCCTCATCATACACGAGTCGTGGGGAACAGTAAGGAGTTAGCATCTTTAGTATCCTCATCAATTCCCTCTTCTCTCGATAGTGCTACGCTAGGCTATGAGGAATTCCAAAAAAAACTGCAGTTAGAATATTACCCCTTAACACACATGCTGCTCGGAATATTTTTCAACGGCCAATATTTACAGTGACAAATAATTACCACTTTTGCAAGTTGTAAGCAGAACTGCATAAACGAGTGAGTTGACTATGAGGACAGCTAAAAAGTGAATCGCCTCCCTTATTCTCACGTTCGAGTTATACTGACTGCAAAATTTTTTTATTCAGCTATGCACGGCGATAGGCGGACATAGACGAACTGCAGTGAGCAAGCAGCAAAAAGCAACAGAGCATACGGAAACAAAATGGGTCTAAAAAATTAAGCGTTGAACAGTAATGCTGTCATTCTTAAATAACTATGAACTGTCTAGAATGTTCATGAATAATTGTCTAGGGATAGAAAAGGAATATAAGCCCAGTTTCAAACGGTTACGCGTGCAGTCTCGGCGACTAACCGCAGAGCAATCTTGGTAGAGGAAGCCCTAGCTAGAGATTCAATGAGCATCAGGATACAGGTTATCGGGCTCTTTCGACCACCTCCTTCATTCTCCACAAATTATCTTTCCGTCTTTAAAGACGAGGAAATTGGCACCAACATGCCCCACGTGCTACATATGAAGACAGCGAGTGAGATGATGCCAAATCAAGCATTCGTTTGTGATTGTCTATATATAATAATAGCGAGGTCGATTATGCATCTCCCACACTCAAAACCATATCTACGCACAGTGGGTAAGAAAATCATGAAGAACCCAGTTTAACTATATGAGTAATCCCACCTGTGCCTGAAACACGACGCAAATGGGGAACACCGACTCAATTTCCTCATCATACACGAGTCGTGGGGAACAGTAAGGAGTTAGCATCTTTAGTATCCTCATCAATTCCCTCTTCTCTCGATAGTGCTACGCTAGGCTATGAGGAATTCCAAAAAAAACTGCAGTTAGAATATTACCCCTTAACACACATGCTGCTCGGAATATTTTTCAACGGCCAATATTTACAGTGACAAATAATTACCACTTTTGCAAGTTGTAAGCAGAACTGCATAAACGAGTGAGTTGACTATGAGGACAGCTAAAAAGTGAATCGCCTCCCTTATTCTCACGTTCGAGTTATACTGACTGCAAAATTTTTTTATTCAGCTATGCACGGCGATAGGCGGACATAGACGAACTGCAGTGAGCAAGCAGCAAAAAGCAACAGAGCATACGGAAACAAAATGGGTCTAAAAAATTAAGCGTTGAACAGTAATGCTGTCATTCTTAAATAACTATGAACTGTCTAGAATGTTCATGAATAATTGTCTAGGGATAGAAAAGGAATATAAGCCCAGTTTCAAACGGTTACGCGTGCAGTCTCGGCGACTAACCGCAGAGCAATCTTGGTAGAGGAAGCCCTAGCTAGAGATTCAATGAGCATCAGGATACAGGTTATCGGGCTCTTTCGACCACCTCCTTCATTCTCCACAAATTATCTTTCCGTCTTTAAAGACGAGGAAATTGGCACCAACATGCCCCACGTGCTACATATGAAGACAGCGAGTGAGATGATGCCAAATCAAGCATTCGTTTGTGATTGTCTATATATAATAATAGCGAGGTCGATTATGCATCTCCCACACTCAAAACCATATCTACGCA